CTTGTTTTTACGAATAACTGAGCAGTCAGTCTTGCTTAACTTTGCACAAATGGTGCAGATGGTATCCCCGCAACGATCACAGGCCACTGTAGCGTCATTAACGTTAAGCGATCCAAGCTTGCAAAATTTACAACTTTCTCCTCGCTCATTTTGCAATTTGATCTTCGAATTCGGTTTAACAGGACTGGAGGCCTTCTCATTTAATTTTTTTCCTCTCTGCTCAGCCATCATGAAATGCAAGGGCTAAAAAAAGCACAAGCTAAAACTGAATCAAGTTGAGTAAAAATTGTAAAGTTTCCAAAGTGCTGTAAAAACTCGGTTACAGACTTGAGAGTAAGTGACTTTCATGCAGTCAGCGGCTGAAAAGGTGTTCAGGGTAGGGGAGGTATGCCTGGCTATAAAACAAGTGCTCTATTGTTCTACGCTGGCGGGGCAGTGCTCGTTGCTCTCGCTTGATGACCCTCGCTGACTCTAGATCGCGTTATTTCAGATGGAAACACTTTTACTATAGGAAACACTTTTACTATAGGCTTCTTTTTTCTATTCTCTTTTACTGACTTCACTGAAAATTCAGTCATTCTCTGACACGGAACATAAAAAAAATGCAAAAAGAGTTCCGAAAATGGCACAGTAAAAGTTAAAAGTTGAAAATCTGGGACCGCAAAACACGAGCGTCCGCTCTCGACCACGGTTGAAACTTGACTGCGTTGGGAGGAGAGGGAAATCCGATCAAATTGGATTGACTGATTGGGAGGAGGGCGGTTCCTCTTTCCGGCTAGGGAACGGAGGAGATTCCAATGTTTGGATTGGTTGGTACGTCTGCTGCACGACGCAAGATGTGTCTGCAATGTGTTCCTGGCGAGGGCCTGTATAGAGAGGCCTATTTCCAGGTTGAGATCTGGGAGCCGTGGGTCGGTTGGGTTACTCGCCCTAATGTCATCCCGTTGCTCCATGAGCAACCGGGTGCTAGGGTTGACTGATGGGGAGAAGTCCTTCCTGAGTCCGGCAGGGATATACTGTCTGGCAGCGGTCGTCAGGACTTCCCTTAAGGTCGACTCTCCACCACACGAGGTGGGGGGAGGGACCATCTCGAGCGCCACTTCATTGGCTGCCGTGTAGGCGGGCCAGTCAGCTTTTTTGAAGTTGACATAGGAGCGGGCGGCCCGGGGGGCTGGGGAATCAGCAGAGGAAGGGAGATGGATCAGGATGGGCAGGTGGTCCGAGTTGAGGGCGACTTGCGGAGCCCAGAAGGTGCTCAGGAGTAGGTGACCGCTGATGATGGCGAGGTCAGGAGAGGAGGGCGTGCCATGGAAGAGGAGGCGGGTATGGGAGTCCGAGGTAGGCGAGGGAGGAACCAGCGACGAAGTCGTCGACTGCGGTTCCTCGCGCTGCGGCTCTCTGGTCGTCCGTGTGGGAGAACCAGGAGGGAAGATGGGCGTTAAAATCACCCACTATCAGGCAGTCTCACGGGATAGAGATAATGTCCGTGAGCTCCGGGGAGTATCCCGGGGGGCAAGAGAATGGGGTCAGACCGTCTGCACGTAGGGCAGGTCCAGTCTTCGGAGTATAGGTGGATGGAGCGAAAGCCGGAGCACCACTTGTGGCACCAGGCATTACACGTGGAGCACCAGAACGAGTAACATAGCTTTGTAACCGGGAGGGAGCAGACTGAGCAGGGGTCCGGGCCAAAGTTGGGATGGATACCCTGGGTCAGGAGGAGAAGGACGAAAAGGAAGAAAAGGCGAGGGGAGAGAAGGGCATAGTGTTCCTCAGGAAAGATAGGCGGCCAAAGAAGTGGGTAGGGAGAAGGGGAGGCCGAGGTTCCCCGACCCTTGGTTGAAAAAATGAAGAAAGGAGCCTCCGTCCGGGTGGCGATCCGGGCGGGGGGGGCTCTGCCGTTTGGCCTGGCCCGTGAGTAAGCCGGCCATACGGCCGACGCGCAGGCCAGGGTACCCCCACGACGTATACGCGGCAGAGATCGCGGCCGTCACACGGCCAATCTCCAAATTCAATGACAAAGAAATATCTCCCAAATTAATGAACGAATACTAGACTCGAATAATTTTTGCTGAATAAATACTCTTTATTATTGAAATCTATGCAGCGTTATATCATTATACCACCAAACAAATCACACAAGAAAAAAATTCATCTTCTTTATGCTGAAATTAATCGCAGGATTTACATTGCCTTAACCGAGATAGAAATATCATAGGTCGAAACTTAGCTTCGAATGAATTCAGTTTAAACTATTTCAAGAAATCGATTATAAGAAGAAACGGCCGTACATTCACAGCTTTATTGCATTTTTAGAATAGTATAATAAAGCCTATAAGCATACAATTGAATCATTATATAAACGATTATATAATTTATCGTGCTATTTATTCTCACCACATAATTTATTATTTCTTTATTCATTATTTTTTCCTTATTTCTTTTCACCTCTCACATTTCGAGTACTCTGTACGGTTGTAAATTAAATTCTAGAAGGCACCGGTTGGAAACACTCGACAAGAGCGATAGACCGAGCCTTGCACCAGTCGTTACCCTGCAGTCCCCCAGTGAACAACCCATTTCTATGCATGGTTGACGATAACCATTACGCCTTTACTTGCTCTGGTTTCTAGTCAACCTTCCTGCCTTTATTGTTTTGCGGATCTCGCGTGGAGTTGGGCCATACTTTCAAAACTCGCTAAATGAACGTAATTAAGTACCTACGCTCTATTTTCTTGTCTATGATTGGTTGATTTTGCTCGAAAGGCCGTTAATGACTGGCTGATGAACTTACGATCTCTTAACTTTTTTTGAAAGTATAGGCCCTGGACTCGAAGTGGTGCTCTCCAAGTCTGTCAATGAAGCTTTTCGTACTCACGTGTTCACCACGTGGACCGACTTCTCACTCTGTGGACCAAAGAAGGGCCGCTAACCTGTGTCGAGTAATCGCAATTCTACTATTGTATCGTGTACTGTGTTACCCATTAATTTAAACTTTGCATCCCGTTTTAATTTAAGTATATTGTTGGTGTTCCTAAATGTTTGAAGTATCCGAGTGAGTGAAACGAACCTCGATGAAGGACAGCCTTCATTACATACTCTCGGTACAAATAGTATTAGTGATGAAGGATGAAAGATCGACTAGAAGGCAATATCAAATATTGTTTATTTGAAGCTAGCAATGCAATCTTGTCCGACTTCAAGGTTATCGGTGGGGCTAAAGTTATTGTTTATTGAGGGGCAACCAAGCGACCTTGTCGGAGTTCAAGAGTTATCGGTGGGGCTCAACTTATTGTTTATTGAGGGGCAACCAAGCGAAAGTTTGGTAATTTTATGCTTGATAAACTTTAATTATTACCTGTAAATGATTGTTGCCAGATAATTTTCATTTAATCATAATCAGATAATCTTCATAAATTAAAATGAAAAAAAATCAGATAGTCTTAATTTTTCCCCTATATTTCTGTCCGATTCAATGAAAAACGTTTTGTAACTTGAGATTTCGCCATGGCGCTGTGGGGGCAGCGTCCTCTTCTTCACCTATACTGAGACCGCTGGTGAGGTGCCCTTATTGTGACACTCCGAATAAAACTTGTGACCCGCTTAAATTTGAACCATAAAGTACTTAATTTACTATTCAATTCCTGATTGATGTTTTGTGTAAAGATTTTTACTGAACATACATCTCTCGTATACATAAGGTTGGGACCTTTAAGGTAGGACCAGAGTTAATGAGCTCAGACAAAATTCATTTAGAACCAAACTTGTCCGAGATTGTTCAGCTATTTGGTATGTTATCATCTACTTATGTTATGATCCTTTTATTACTTGTTAACCTTGGCTATTTTCTCTATATTGTTTATAATCTCGAATAACCTCAATTTGTGTTCAAATTGTTCATTCTTTGTTTTCAGAAACCGTTACAATCCACAACGAGTTTTCATTTTGAACAATCCCCTGAACAAAGAGCCATATTCTTTATATTTTGGATCCATTTATTATCTTGTTCCTGCTCGCATTAGACAGTTCTACATGGCTCCAGGAATAACGTAATGGAGTGCATAAAAAGTTGAATCCGCATACTTAAGTGAATTACTATAATCCTCACTATACTCGTGTATAATTATAACTCATACTTCTTTGCAACAATCAGATTTTGGACCGAATTGAATGAATTCAAAGGATTATGATAATTCCACCTATAATGTAATGCACTAATGCTTATCTGAATAACCGTCTCCGAGACGACTGCCCGTAAGAAAGTCCATCTCCTGCTTTCACGAAGAAAGGGAAAATTTCTAAGATTATTTCATCTACTGATGCATCTCGTGCTCATTTTTCATTGAAAATTAGCCTATCCCGCATCAATTTCGAAAGAAGTTTGACTTTATACTTTCATTCTACTGTGCTTCCAAGACGCCATCGGTCACTCCTTCGTATATGATTCAGTCTTGTTGAAATAGCCATGTCATGTAAAACTTGAGCTTCTTGCTGAGCAGCTTCTTCATATAGTAGTTTCTCATTGTAAAACTTTCTTCGCCATACTGATAGAATGAACTGTGTTCTTTCTTCAACCTACTGATAGAATGAACTGGTAGCCTTCTTCGACATACTGATAGAATAAAATGGGAGCTTTCTTCGACATACTAATACAATGAACTGTGAACTTTCTTCAGCCTATTGATAGTATGAAATTGGTAGCCTTCTTCTACATACTGCATGATAGAATGAACTGTGAGCTTTCTTCCTCATACTGATAGAGTGAACTGGGAGCTGTTTTCGTCATACTGATAGAATGAACTGGTAGCCTACTTCGACGTACTGTTCGAACAAAAGCTGATAGAAAATCAATATGTTTACCGTTCGAAGACGTTACAATAATTATTTATTTAGGCTCGGCCGATACTTTCAAATTATCTAATAATTTTTGATGTGCTTCTACGCCTTATGCTGAATTATAAAATAGCAGGATAATTGATACCTCTAGGCACGTTAAACTTTTATTCTCAAATCAGGTGACTCCCTTACATCGGTCCGCTCGAAAATTTGGAAGCGGCCTAGCATTCAAATTATATCAACCATTAACTTCTCTATTTTAGTTAACTTATGTTATGTCGCGGGGTAAAATTTACTAGGAAGTTGTTATCCATTGCAAGGTATATAATCCACAATAATTTATTGAATTACAAATGTTTAATAGTTGGAGGATAACTGATTATGTTACCTGTTTTAAACTTTTCATTTTCGGTTAAATAAAACAATTTATCTTCGCCACTTGTTGACAGTTCATTGAAAAAGTAATCTCCTGCACAGTATTGGCTGCGGTAACGGTAACTGGCAGCTCACCACGTGAAGCAGTTGATCAAATTGGACCCAAGTTGCAGTCGGTGGTGAAATTGGTTGGCTTAATGTTGAAGCCGCCGTTGTTGGGCTGAGACTTCACGGTGTTCAGCAAGCACGTTAAGTTTAACGTTCCTAGTGCATCCGGCTGACTGCTGAAAACGTACAGCGAATCTGTAAACAAAAAATGCGTTCTTATGCTGATGACGGTGCATCGGCATACCGATAACAAATTGCAGTACTTAGTCACCAATGACTGTCGTACATAATTTCACAGAGCATTGATTAGACGAGGTTGTATGTAGTCGGCACTCTTTCTAATTGATGCACATGCTGCAAATAGTCTCAGACTAAATGTTGGTCAAATGTCAATAATAAAATTGCCAGTGTTTGTCCCATGCGAAATGCATGTTTCCAGGGAGACTCACGGAGTGAGTTCCAAAACACTCCACGGCAGGTCCTGATGACGATCTCCGTAGGCGAGACGTACGCGAAGTAGACGCTTGTTGAGCCCGTTGACGATGACCCCAAGACTGTCAAACAAACATCAACGTTCCAGAGAGGATTAGAAGTTAAATTTATAGCGTGATATGGGAAAATTTTATATTAGGGATTTTTTAATACAAGACAACTGATGACTAATGCATAAGTAATGAAAGCTAACATGACGAGACGCATGAGGAGACGATAAAAAATGAATGCATCAGATCCTTTAAAACTAAAACTCGTATCTTTTCCAGCTAATATCACAATAACGTATGGATTAGGATTCAAGAGGAAGCATAAACTGGAATTAGCTGGAACGTCACTAACCCAAAGACGGTATGGGAGGGATGGCAGGTTTGGGAGGTTGTGTGTCAACTTTTTTCAGCTGAAAGACTCCGTCGACTGAAGAAGAAGCGCCTCTTCCCGCATACCTTACTTTGTCACCCCTGCTCGCATACAATGAAATGTTTCTTTATGCCATCCTAGTCTCATCATCAGATAAATTGGGAACTTGCCCTATTTTTTAGTTTTGAAATCAATTTCGAGCACAAGATTGAACGGAATTTTCTTACTTCATTGAATATACGAGTGTCAGAATTTTCATCAGTTATTCGTCTTATCCTATTGATTCAATGTCGGTCACCTGTTGAGCATCACAAGCCCTACAGGAAAATTTATATCATGAACGAAAAATAAGATTTGTCCAATAGCCAAGTAAATTTCATGACTGCGAACGCATAATGTATTATTAAAAACGAGCCTCTCAGTCAATTTGTTTCGTAATTTCGACCAAATTTAGAGCTGAATGATGTAGCATGGAAATTAATATGATAAGAAAAACTTTCAATTATTATTTGTGTTTAGTTCACCATAATTTTATTCAAAATTCAGGCGCTAAATGTTCCAAATATCGTTTGAGATTATCGTGCCCATTTAATTTACATATTTCAGGAGATAGATTGGAGACGACACTCACGCTGCATTTTTACCCACGAGCGTAAGAGTGATGTTCTTATATTCGGCCTCTAAGATTATTATCTGACAACTCATTTTGTCGTCTTCAGAGGTTCCGTCGTAGGCGATCAGCTTCCCAAACATGACATCCGCTCCCTGCAATGTGGCAATAATTTATAATTTATTGTTTTATCTTATATTTTAATTATTACGATTTTTGTAGGTGTGTATAGTTGTCATTCATCATTTTAAGGTATGTCATTCTTCATTCAAATAGTATGATTTCGTCTGTAAAGATAAGCACAAGTGAGTCGAACTGATTAAACCTGATAAATTTTTAGCTCGCTAAGGAGCATGAAAACAGTTATTAGCCAGTTTTATCCAAATTTACGTTGACCGAAAATATAGGCTCTGATTTTTCTGCACAAAAAGTTATACCCCGAGTATTTGTGTCACAAATTTCTTGAAAATAATACAAGATGAAAAATGTTTTCACGCACTAGGTCGTTCCAGAATTGTTGGGTCATCACGTATGGGTCGGTGATACCAGCGCCGGCCGGGCAGGCGGAGAACAACCCGCCGTAGATTTCTGCTGATGTCAGCGTCGCCAGCAGCGACAATGTCACGGCAGCCCCGCGCAACATTGTAGGGCTTGGTAAGTCCCTGTGCGGTGATATGCAATTTAAAATATACTGCAAAAATAAACTTATACAGTATATAAAAATATAATGGCTTGATAGAATCTCTTTTTATCCAGCTAAATTATTAACAAAAAGGTATTTCCCTTATGGCATAACTAATAGATGTTTAGTGATTGATCTGCGCTATCATTCGCTCTGAGAAATTTGCTCTCCCTCAGTAAACTTTAATTGAATTATAGCAGTACTTTTTTATTTGTACTGGTCACTACATTTCTCGATATAATTGTAGTGTTCTGAAAAATTGCGCACAGATTTTCGACAGATGGTTGTTGATACTTGAAGCTAAACCAAAAATATATGTGAGATCTGAAGAGCGAAGAAATTATTTACTAAAAAGAGGTGCAATTTTATTGAAGCCATTATTTTGAGCCGTTAACGAGGCTGTGGGATACGAGTTGCTCTGTGTGGAAATTGGAAAACGTACAGACTCTGATGAGAATATCTGATACCTGTTTTTATGTGTTTTCTTCCTGTTTATTGGTATAACTATTCATTTTAGCCATCTGTTGTTGAAATCTCATTAAAAATGTGACATTCAGCTCAACCGGCCATCTATGGTGTACTTATTAGTAAACGTTATCTGTTCCGGGATTTTATTCGCCACTTGAAATGGCGGTCCTTAAACCTATCAATATAATCCAAATTTACAAGTGCTTCTATTTATTGTAAAAAAATGGTAGTTATATTATTATATTAATATATATTATATTATATTATATTATATTACTATAATATTACTTTGAAGGTATTATGTATAAATGAATGGATCTTGGTTTCTGAATAGCTGCGTATGTCAAGATCGATTAATCAGGCGACATGCGTAAAGGGCTATTGAAGCAATGCCTGTATACCTGGGAAACTGGCCCCGAAAAAACATTTTCAGTCGACTGCAAACAAAATGTTATCTAGTATTAGGTTGTAAAGTTTGATTTAATTTTTGGGCGACAATTTAAACTTATTTTTCTCATTCAACATTCATAGACAACGGTATCAGCTTTGGTGTCATCGCGGAAATATTCCTTTGCTATGTAATAATCGCGTGATCAATCGTGGAGCTTAAGAAGGCTAATTGTTTCAAATTAAACATATATTCTTGTACTCTATTAACTTAGAATTTCTCTGTGGCATTGCATATGTTTGAAAATAAGACATTGAATTTTTTGCAACCTTTAGAATAGTTGTTATATTACTCCTGTAAAACTCCATCACCCAAAGGATACATTCCCAAAGTGACTCAAATATCTAATAAAAAAATTGTGCAAGAATCAGACAATAGAATTTTCGGAAATATCCCTTGAATTCCACCGTAATCAGCGAGCGAACCACTATTATTGGATTCAAATGAGGTTCATTGCATAGCACTTCTGTGAATTTCGTCCTTGATGTTGTTTGGCATGAACTTAATAAATCCTTCAATGAAAGTCAGGAGGTGAATGCAAGACAGCCGGAAACCATTGAACTAAAACAAAAATTTGTTAATTATTGCGATTCATCACGCTGAAGTTGCCAAGCTGTGTATTGTAGGCTTCAAAGTAAAGTGATGATTACAAGTTAACTCTGAAACATTAAAATTGGGTATAGCCAAAGGATATGAGTTCAAACGCACCAAGCTTTATTTGTATTGCATAAATTACAAAGCTAGATACAATATTTCATCAGCCGGAGAATTCTAAACCAAAATCTTTATTGTCGATTCGTTTCTGTTTATAAGCTAAGTTGAAACTCAGAGACTTAAAAATCAAGAGACAAAACCACAAATATCGGAAGTTCAACTTTGAAATCAAAAAATCTTACTTGTACAAGTATCGAAATTGAAGTTCGTTAGTTTGAACGCTGGAAAAGTTACAATGTTCACCAGAGGCAAGTCAGTGCACGAATGAGTCTCATATTTTGGTGTACTCACCTCCTGGACTGAAGGTCGGGCATACAAAAGCTTCAATGGATTACAGTACGTCATCAGTAAACACTTGCATTGTTTTTGGGAATTAATTACCACAATAGAATCAATTATCGTCTTTATATATTCTTAGCACTCGTTCTAAATCGAATTTTGTACATCGAGAGCAACCGACACTCGTTTCTATAGCAGATCTGCTCTTGATATTAAATTGATATTAAATACAAATATGCTTCATCAAAAGACGATGAACTGAGAGGACTATAGGGACTGGAATAAAGTTTTTCTTATAATTTTTTTTCATTCGTGTGGGAACTTTACAAAATCGCACGCATGAACATGGATAGTTGGTTCACAGAATCACTAGCAGGATATATTTTCAATGTTAAATAGAAATAAGCCAAAGAAATATATTCGTATGGATTCAAGAAAGATCGTCTATATATATGCTAATATTCGATTGAAAATTTTTGTTGCGAAAGATCAAATCTCTTTGAACATATTCGAGATATTTATCTCCATTACCATAACCATTGCTAAATAATAAATTATTTCAAATTTATTATATCCCTCATCGAAAGCATACTCACTAATTTATATTTAATCTAAAGGGTTGACTAGCTATGAAGAAAGTCGGCTTGAAGGAGCAGGTTCCTACAACTCGTCAATTTTTGTGATATATGAATCCAAGAACTTACATAATTAATGTGTGGATTTATTTCGTTAAAGAGATGCGAACATCCTTTAGAATAGAGTCACTTCTCTCAGATAAGCTGTTGTTGAGTCGTCCATGTCCATGAGAAAAATTTGGTGCACTTTTGTCATCACAAATGATGATGTCTTGATGATTTGAGACATCACATATGATGTCTCATTTGACGCGCTCCGAACAATGGTTAAATATATTATTGTTCCTGCAATAAATTACATTATATATACTAACATTTCTTACTGGTTTATTACACTTGACAAGATGAAATGACTTATCTCAATCTAAGCGCAATACATTATATAGAGAGAATTTTGCGTTATGTAAAGAGAATTTTGCATTATGAAGAGGGAACTTTGTATTATGTAGAGGGAATTTTGCATTATGTAGAGGGAATTTTGCATTATGTAGAGGGAATTTTGCATTATGTAGAGGGAATTTTGCATTATGTAGAGGGGAATTTTGCATTATGTAGAGGGAATTTTTTCACTATTTAGAGGGAATTTTGCATTATGTAGAGGAGAATTTTGCATTATGTAGAGGGAATTTTGCATTATGTAGAGGGAATTTTGAATTATGTAGATAGGATTTGCATTATGTAGAGGCTGTCTCTTATACACATCTAGATGTGTATAAGAGACAGGNAAGCCCGCTGGTGAGGTGCCCTTATTGTGACACTCCGAATGAAACTTGTGCACGGCTTTAATTTGAACCATAGAGTTCTTAATTTATTATTTTATTTCTGATTAATGTTTTGGATCCATTTATTATCTTGTTCCTGCTCGCATTAGACAGTTCTACATGGCTCCCGGAATAACGTAATGGACTGTATAAAAAGTCGGATTCGCGTACTTCAGTGAATTGCTATAATAGTCACTATACATATGCATAAATATAACTCGTAATTCTATGCAACAATCAGATTTTGGACCAAATTGAATGAATTCAAAGGATTATGATAATTCCACCTATAATGTAATGCTTATCTGAGTAACCGTCTCCGAGACGACTGCTCGCTAGAGTCCATCTCTTGATTCACGAAGAAAGGGAAAATTTTGAAGATTATTTTATTTACTGATGCATCTCGTGCTCATTTTTCATTGAAAATTAGCCTATCCCGCATCAATTTCTCAAGTAGTTTGACTTAATACCTTCATTCTACTGTGCGTCTTAGACGCCATCGGTCACTCTTTTGTATAGATTCATTCTTTTTGAAATAGCCATGCCATGTAAAACTTGAACTTCTTGCTGCGCAGGTTCTCCATATAGTAGTTTCTCATAGCGTTCTGAAACGTGGAACTTTCTTCGACACACTGAATGAAGTGGGAACTTTCTTCGACATACTGATAAAATGAACTGGGAGCTTTCTTCGACATACTGAAAAAATGAACTTTGAGCTTTCTTCGACATACTGAAAAAATGAACTTTGAGCTTTCTTCGACATACTGATAAAATGAACTTTGAGCTTTCTTCGACATACTGAATGAAGTGGGAACTTTCTTCGACATACTGATAAAATGAACTGGGAGCTTTCTTCGACATACTGAAAAAATGAACTTTGAGCTTTCTTCGACATACTGAAAAAATGAACTTTGAGCTTTCTTCGACATACTGATAAAATGAACTTTGAGCTTTCTTCGACATGGCAGCCTACATCGATATATTAATAGTATGAACTGGTAGCTTTCTTCAACCTACTGATAGTATGAGCTGATAGCCCACTTCGACATACTGGTAGAATGAACTGCAGGGTGCTTTCTTGAACTGGGTCTAGTAGCTATTTCAAACTATCGTCAGTCATGAAAAGATCCTGTCAAATGACTCGATTTTAGATCTTCTGTGAACAAGGCACGAAAAGGAAAAGAACGACAGGCCACATCAGGCCTACACTTCAACGCCGAGATCACTATGTTATGTTATGTTACTGATAGTATGTGCTGGTAGCCTATACTTCGACTTTCTGTAAGAACGAAAGCTGATAGAAAGTCAATGCATAAACAGTTAGAAAACGTTACAATAATTATTTATTGCGACTCGACCGAAACTTTGAAATGATCAAATTTGCTATTTGATGTTTACTGTGCCGTAGGCTGAATTATAAAATTGCAGGATAATTGAAATCCGTAAGCACGTCTAACTTTTATTCTCCAATCAGGCGGCTGCCTTTCATCTGTCTGTTTGAAAATTTTAGAGGGACCTAGCGTTCAAATTATATTAACCATTCATTTCTCTGATTTGGCGCGCGGTAAAATTAAATAGAAGTAGATATAAATTGCAAGTAATATAATCCACAATGATTAATTGAATTATAAATGCTTAATAGTAGGAGGATATTTGATTATGTTACATGTTTTAAATTTTTAACTCCGGTTAAATAGAACAATTTCTTTTCGCCACTTGTTGACAGTTCAACGAAAAAGTCATCTCCAGCCCAGTATTGGCAGCGGTGACGGTAACTGGCAGCTCACTACGCGCCACAGACGGTCCAATTGGCTAGCTTGAGGTTGAAGCCGCCGTTGTTGGGCAGAGACTTCACGGTGTTCAGCAAGCACGTCGTTGAGTTTAAATTTTGAAGTTTACCCAATTGACTGGTGAACACGTACAGCGAATCTGTAAACAAAAAATGTGTTCTCTTGGTAAAAATTCTTATTCCTAATTAATTAGACGGTTAATTCTTATTCTTAATTTCGACGGTGCACGCTCATGCCGATAACAAATAAAATTGCAGTTCTTAGTCACCAAGGACTATCGTGCCTTTCACAGAGCATTAATTAGACGAGGTTGAATTGAGGTTGAAACTCTTCCCAATTGATGCGTATACTGCTAATAACCTCAGACTAAATGTTGGTCAAATGTCAATAATAAAATCGCCATTATATGTCCTAAGCGAAATGCTTGTTTCCAGACAGACTCACGGAGTGTGTTCATAAACACTCCACGGCAGGTCCTGATGATGAACTCCGTAGGCGAGACGTACGCGAGGTAGACGCTTGTTGAGCCTGTCGACGATGACCCCAAGACTGCCAAACAGAAACCAACGATCCAATAAGAATAAGAAGTTAAGAAAATTCATAAAATAAAGCGTGATATAGGAAAATTTTATACGAGGTAATTTTTACTACATTCCAGCTGATGACTAATGCATGAGTAATATTAGCTAACACGGATATGAAAAAACGACAAAAAATGAATGCAACAGATTCTTTGATAATAAAACTCGTATTTTTCAGCAAAAATCACATTGACGTAGCGATAAGTTGGAAGCATAAGCTGCAATTAGGTTAACCGTCACTAACCATAAGCCGGGAAGGGAGTGAGAGGGGGTTGGGTAACTCGATTCAGCTGAAAGACGCCGTCGATTGAAGAAGACACTCCTTTTCCCCCGTACGAGACTTGGCCCCCCCTGCTCCCATACATTGAAATGTTTATTTGTGTCATCCTAGTCTCATCATCAGACAAATTGGGAACTTGCCCTATTTTTTTAGTTTCTGAATCAGTTTCGAGCACAAGATTCAGAGGAATTTTCTTGCTCCATTGACTAATCGAGTGACTCGAGTGTCAGAATTTTCATCAATTGCTCGTCTTATCTTATTGGTTTGAAGTAGGTCACCTTTTGAGTATCGGAAGCCCTACAGGAAAATTTAAATCATGAACGAAAAATACAATTTGTCCTATAATCATGTAAATTTTATAACCACGAACGCACAATGTATTATTTATGACGAGCCGCTCAGTCTATTCGTTTCGTAGACAACACTCACGTTGCATTTTTACCCACGAGTTGAAGAGTGATGTTCCTATAGTCGACAAAGAGGTTAACACTCTGACATCTCATTTTGTCGTCTTCAGAGGTACCGTCGTAGGCGATCAGTAGCCCAGACGCGGGATTCGCTGTCTGCAATGTGACAATAATTTTTAATTCTTTATTGTATTTAATGTTTTATTTATTACAATTTTCGTAGGTTGTATAGTTGTCATTCATCATTATAAGGTATGCCATTCATCATTCAATAGATACGATATCGTCTGCAGAGATAAAAACAACTGAGTTGAACTTATTACACTTGAACAATTTTCAGCTCGCTGAGAAACATGAGCACAGTTATTAGCCAGTTCTATCCAAATTTACGGTACCAGGTGACCGAAAATATAGGCTCTGATTTTTCTACAACAAAAGCTATCCCCCGAGTCTTTGAGTTCCAAATTATCGGTAAAATTGTAGTGACATGTAATATATTTCCACGCACTAGGTCGTTCCAGAATTGTTGGGTCATCACGTATGGGTCGGTGACACCAGCGCCGCCCGGGCAGGCGGAGAACAACCCGCCGTAGATTTCTGCTGATGTCAGCGTCGCCAGCAGCGACAATGTCACGGCAGCCACGCGCAACATTGTAGGGCTTGGCAAGTCCCTGTGCGGTGATATATGCAGCTTAAAATATGCTGCAAAAATGAACCAGCTTAAAAAAAATACAGCTTAAAATGCAGCTTAAAATATGCTGCAAAAATGAATCTGTGAAAAGTATAATGGTTTGTTGGCACCTCTTTTTATCCAGCTAAATTTTTAACAAAAAGGTATTTACCTAATGGCATAACTAATAAATGTTGAGTGATAGATCTGCGCTATCATTTGCTCTGAGAGAACTTGCTTTCCTTTAGTAAACTTATACTGAATTATAGCAGTACTTTTCTATTTGTACTGTTATCATATTTCTCGAGATAATTGGAGTGTTATGAAAAATTGCACACAGATTTTCGACAGATGTTTGTTGATACTTAAAAATAAAATCCAAAATATATGGGAGATCTAATAAATGTGAAAACGATTTACTAATGACAGATGCAATTAGATTGAAGACATGCTTTTGGGTAACTCATGAGGCTGTGGGATACGAGTTGCTCTTCGTTGAAATGCAAAAAAGTACAGGTTTTGATAAGAAAAATGTATACCTGTTTTTAAGTAGCTATTTTGTTTCTTGGTATAATTATTTATTTTCGCCAGTTGTGAAAATTTCATTATTGTATTTCATTGTACGAGCAACAATTAAAATTGCTTTTTCATTCAACATAAAAAAACTATATCAGCTTATGTCTCATCGCGATATTATTCCTTTACTATGTAATAATTGCGTGATCAAGCATTAAGCTTGCGAGGGCTATATAATCGCTTCAAATTAAGCATTTATTCTTGTACTCTATTAACTTAGAACTTCTCTGTTGCATTGCATATGTTTGAAAATAAGACATTGGATTTTTTTTGGCTTCCCTCAGAATAGCTGTTATATTACTCCTATACAACTCCATCTAAACCAAAGGAGACTTTCCTAAATTGACTCTTAAATCTGATATAATAAATTTTGCATAAATGTGACAATTGAATTTCCGAAAATTGCCTTTGAATTCTACCGTAATCAGTGAACCACTATAATTGAATTCAAACGATTCCATTGAATTCCTATGATTGAATTCTAACGAGGTGCATTGCATAGCATTTCTGTGAATTTCGTCCTTAGAGTTATTTTGGATGAACTTAGGAAATTCTGAAATACAAGTCAATGGGTGATTGCAAAACAGCCGGAATCCGTTGAACTAAAACCATAATGTTTTATTTTCATCACTCTCGATTCATCACGCTTAAGTTGCCAAGCTGTGCATTAGAGGCTTAGAAGTAAAGTGACACGAGACTCAGCGCCCAGATCAATATTTGTGAGTTCTGTGTCTACAAAAACCTTCGTTCATGAACTGCCATAAGTTGCCCGGGAAATCATTTGAATTTATTTTCAGCTTGCTGAAATACGCAGTACAAGACATTAACTGATATTAATTAAAACAGAACTGATTATAATATATTCCACTTCTTTTGCTAATTTATTTGACAAATTTGAAGCTCCCTTTCATAGGATTAACAATGCTTTCATTTTCAGATTTGGGTACGTTGATCAGAACAGAAATTTCTGAAATCACAAATAGGAGAGCAAGCTTTAAAGGACTTTTTGAAGGAACCTCAATGATTACAAGTTGAAGCTGAAACATCAAAATATGGTACAGATAAGTGATATGAGTTCAAACGCACCAAGCTTTATTCGTATTGCATAAATTACAAATCTAGATCCAATATTTCACCAGCCGGAGAATTCTAAACTAAATGCTTCAACGTCGATTCGTTTCTGTTTATAAGCTATGTTGAAACTTCGAGACTTAAAAATCAAAAGACAAACCACAAATATCGGAAGTTCAACTTTGAAATCAAAAAATCTTACTTGTACAAGTATCGAAATTGAAGTTGGTTAATTTGCACGCTGGAAAAGTTACAATGTTCACCAGAGGCAAGTCAGTGCACGAATGAGTCTCATATTTTGGTGTACTCACCTCCTGGACTGAAGTTCGGGATACATAAGCTGCTATGGGATTACAGTAGGTCATTATTAAACACTTGCATCGTTTTTGGCAAATAATTACCGCAATAGAATCAACTATCGTCTCTATGGATTCATAGCACTCGTTCTAAATTGAATTTTGTACATCGAGAGCAACCGACACTCGTTTCTATAGCAGATCTGCTCTCATTTACAGACGTATTGATATTAAATACAAATATGCTTCATCAAAAGACGATGAACTGGGAGGACTATAGGGACTGGAATAAAGTTTTTCTTATAATTTTTTTTCGTTCGTGTGGGAACTTTACAAAATCGCACGCATGAACATGGATAGTTGGTTCGCAGAATCACTAGCAGGATATATTTTCAATGTTAAATAGAAATAAGCCAGAAACATATATTCGTATGAATATAAGAAAAATCGTCTATATATATATGCTAAAATTCGTTTGAAAAAATTGGTTGCGAAAGATCAAATCTCTTTGAACATATGTAGAGATATTTATCTCTATTACCATAACCATTGCTAAATAATAAATTATTTCCAATTTGTTATATCCCTCGTCGAAAGCATACTCAATAATTCATATTTAATCAAAAGGGTTGACTAGCTATTAAGAAAGTCGGCTTGAAGGAGCAGGTTCCTACAACTCATCAATTTTTGTGATATATGAATCCAAGAACTTACATAATTAATGTGTGGATTTATTTCGGTAGAGAGAACTGAATATCCTTAAGAATAGCTTCACTTTTCTCAGATAATTTGTTACTGAGTCGTCCAAGTCCATGAGAAAAATTTAATGCAATTTTGTCATCACAAATGATGTCTCAAATGACGCACTCCGAAAAAGGTTAAATTGTTCCTGCCATAAATTACATTATATTTACGAACACTTCTTACGGGTTTATTACACTTGACAAGATGAAATGACTTATCTCAATCTAAGCGCAATACATTATGTAGAGAGAATTTTGCATTCTGTACAGGTAATTTTGAATTATATAGAGGGAATTTTGCATTAAATAGAGGGAATTTTGGATTATGTAAAGATAATTTTGGATTATGTAAAGGGAATTTTGCATTATGTAGAGAGAATTCTGCATTATGTAGAGGTAATTTTGAATCATGTAGAGGTAATTTATCCTTATTTCAAGATTATTAAACATATCATGAAGTACTGTAGTCCTTAGTCCTCCTTATCTTCAAATGAGATTACAAAAATAACAGTTTAGTAATTATATTGTTGATAAACTATAATTATTAACTGTAAAAGATTGTTGCCACTATACGGGTTTCCAATTTTTTTTTCAAATCTACCGCATTATCATCATTTCACCCCATGATTTCTGTCCGATTCAAAGAAAAACCTAACCATTAGTAACTTGAGATTTCGCCATGGTGCTGTGGGGGAAGCGTCTTCTTCTTCACCTATACTGAGCCCGCTGGTGAGTTGCCCTTAATTATTGTGACACTCCGAATAAAACTTGTGCACGGCTTTAATTTGAACCATAAAGTACTTAATTTATTATTTTATTTCTGATTAATGTTTTGGTTCCGTTTATTATCTTGTTCCTGCTCGCATTAAACAGTTCTACATGACTCCAGAAATAACGTAATGGATTGTTTAAAAAAGTTGAATTCGCATACTTCAGTGAATTGCTTTAATCCTCACTATACTCATGTATAAATATAAATCGTATTTCTTTGCAGCCATCAGATTTTTGACCGAATTGAATGAGTTCAAAGGATTATGATAATTCCACCTATAATGTAATGCTTATCTGAATAACCGTCTCCGAGACGACTGCCCGTAAGAAAGTCCATCTATTGATTCACGAAGAAAGGGAAATTTTGAATATTATTTCATTTACTGATGCAGCTCGTGCTCATTTTTCATTGAAAATTAGCCTATCCCGCATCAATTTCGAAAGAAATTTGTCTTTATACCTTCATTCTACTGTGCTTCCAAGACGCCATAGGTCACTCCTTCGTAAAGATTTAGTCTTGTTGAAATAGCCATGTCATAACATAACATAACATAGTGATGTCGGCGCTGAAGTGTTGGCCTGATGCGGCCTGTCGCCGATTCTTTATTTCTTTTCCTTTTCGTGCCTTGTTCATAGAAGATCTAAAATCGTGTCATTTGACCGGATCTTTTCATGACTGACGATAGTTTGAAGTAGCTACTAGACTTCCACCGGGTTCGATAAGGAGCTAGGCATTTCAAATCTGAACATATATTTTTCATAGCTTTATCTAGTCTGTTCTTGAACGC